ACTTTATCAATACTTTATCAATTAATAATAGGTATACATTTTAATTCAACGTGCCTAAAATTTTATTTTTTTTTAGTATTTGGTGGCGGATCAGAAAGATTTGGGGATAAATTAGATGATAATATTTACATATTTGACACTGGTAATATTAAATTACAAATCTTTATTCTTTATTCGTAACACAATATATATATATATCTGTACATAAAATTTGACTACAATATATATGATAATATATAATAGAAACAAAATATTGGACTAAAGGGACGTCCACCTAACGGTCTTATTGGTCACTCTACTTCTTTAATTGGATCCGTTGTTTATATATTTGGTGGGCAGAATGGTATAAAATATTTTAATGAAATGATAGCATTCGATCTTAAAGTTCTAAAGTTACAACGAAAAAGAAGTAGATTGAGTAAATTCTCCTTAAATCGAGGTAAATATGCATTATTTTAATCATATTATCAGTATTGGCTATTTTAAATAATGTAAATAAATGCATTAATCATAAATTTTTAAAAATAGCTAGCACCCCTGGCTCTCATTGGAACTACATTACACCAAATAAAAATGAGCACTCTGTTCCTTCATGCAGAAGTGGTCATACTGCTTGTGAATACAAAGATAAAATTTATATGTATGTCATTTGCTACGTTTGCCAATACAATTTTACAATTTTACAATTATATTTATTATAATTTTTTTTTTTTCAAAATTTTCAAAAAATAATTACTCATTAATTATTCTTGCATTCTTCTAGATTTGGTGGTTCAAATGGCGAAAAATGTTTCAATGATACATGGTGTTATGATACATTGAATGGTACTTGGTCGGAATTATCTTGTACCGGTTATGTCCCCACACCTCGTGAAAGACATGGAGCTGCTCGTATTGATGACATCCTCTATGTTTTCGGTGGGAAAACTCATGAAGGAGATGTATTGGGAGATTTATTTGCCTTTAAAATCAAAAGTTGGTTCTTTTTACTTGTTATACGCGTATTATTATTTTTCTTTTCTTAAATCTTTACTTACACATAGATTAATTTAGGTCAGAGGTGGTATAAATTTCCAGAAATGGGTCCTGCAGCTAGTCCTCGATATGATCTTTCCATGGCTGTAGTTGACCAAGACAAGATTTTCATTTTTGGAGGTGACTCGAATGGATCCATAAAACCTGATGTTGATGGAAATATTCATGTATTAGACACGTGTAAGTTTTAGTTTATTTACTTTATAATGTATTGTTATGCGGAATATTTATATATATTAGAGAACTTATTCATATAATTATCATCATTTTTATTACCATTTTATTCTCATTTTATTCTCATTTTATTCTCATTTTATTCTCATTTCTACATTCAGCAAAGATAAAGTTCCCTTCGGATACCAACCCTCCTAAACAAACAGTTCATCGTAAAAAATGAAAATCTTGTCTTGGTCAACTACAGCCATGGAAAGATCATATCGAGGA